TGTCCCCGCCTGAGCAGATCGTGAAGATCGCGACTGGCCCCGCTGCGCACAATGACTTTTTTTGCTTACTACTACAGCATGGACGCGAAAGAGGTCGAGCAAACGATCTTCAAGACTCTCTTCGGCGCCAAGCCGCGCGACGGCAACCCTCTCCCCTGGCCCGCTGCCGCAGCGCACCAGCTCTCGGCCGAGCAAACGGATCTCCCGAGGCACTCTCGCCTCGCCACCATGCACAGCAACCGCCCGAACCCCGCGGCGCCCCGCCTGGCGGCCGCGTGCTTCATGGAGGGAACAAGTGCTTGAAGCGCCTGGCTGATACCTTGCAGTCGCATCTGGGTCGCACAACGTCTCGGCGTTCATGTTCGACGGCATGGCTGTCAATTTGATGTGTGACACCGTGGAGCAGCTGAACGCTGCCCTCGGAGCTTTCAACGCCTCGTCGCTTGTGAAAGCGCGCGCGAAGGAGTGGCCCGCGTAGATCGGCGTGCTACGTCGAGGGGCGGTGCTTGTCGATATACCCTGGGGTCGCCCGCTATTGATGCTTCGCAGTGGCTCCGTCTCTGCAGGCGTAGCATGCCATGCGCTGACCATGGAACAGCGCACGTCGAAACACTATTATCTTCGGATGCTAGACGGCATTGAACTAACGTTGGAGGAGAAGAATCTCCCAGCGAGCTCATGCAGCGACCAGGCGGAAATTGAACCACAACAATGATTGGTTGCATCTCTCTCTCTCTCTCTCTCTCTCTCTCTCTCTCTCTCTCTCTCTCTCTCTCTCTCTCTCTCTCTCTCTCTCTCTCTCTCTCTCTCTCTCACTCACTCACTCACTCACTCACTCTCTCTCTCTATCCCTCTCTGGCCGCGCGCATGTCCAGCCGATCCGCCACTGTCGCGATCGCCATCGCTGTCTGCTCCCTGGCAAGCCCCATTGTTCCCGCAGCTGTTCTGGATCGAGCCATGTCGCCCCGGGCGTCTCGGCGCTAGGACACCCCGCCGCGCCCCGCCGCCCCGCGCCAGCCCCAGCAGCGCCATGGCGCAGCATGCCGACGTCCAGGAGCACCGCGAGAAGCTCCGCCAGGCAGAACCCCCTTCCCGCGGGGACCCTTTGCGCCTGTGAACCGCGCAAGGGTCGCCGACACTGGGGCGCACGCGAGTGCGCCCTCCTTGCTGGCCCTCATTCTCGCGCAGGTGATGGGCTTCATCCCCGGCAAGTCCACGCGCCCGCGCTGCGGTGGGAACGACTGCGACGTCGCGCGCCGCAACGCAAGAGCGCGCGACTGAAGTCGCGCGCGTGACTCGTGCAAGCCTGAGAGCCGCAAATCTATGGCGAAAAGGCGCCGTCTTCGAGGGCTTGCAGTGTACATCGTGGATGGCGTTCCTGGATGCGACGACGACGCGGCTGCTCGATTGCCCCGAGCTGGCCACGGGGGGGGGCCTAGGCGCAACCACTGCGCGATCGACAGGTGGGTCTCTGCATTTCAGACCAAGATTGCATCCGCGCTCCGCGCGGCCATGGCATCGAGGCATCGAACGGGTTCTGGCCGAAAACGAGCGAGAATCCGAAGCGGAAGAGGAGCGCGAGCGGCCATTTCAGGAGGGGCGCCCAGGCACAATCCCGCGCCAGGGTCCGAGCGGTAGCCAAAGCGGCCGCCGCTTGGAGGACGCCGGCGTCGGCCTCCGCAAGAAGAGCGACATCAATAACTGCAATATCATCGTCCAATCGGGTGAAGCGCGCTTGAAACACGCGGAAGCTCGGTCGACTTGCGCGAGCGGCGCGCCCCCCAGAAAGATCAGGCGTGGGCGCGGGGCGCAACTGTCCAAGGGCCACCCTGGCGCCTGGCCCGCCCGAGTCCTCGGCCACCCCCTGGGCGCCACCAGCGGCGAGCCGCGGGGGCGCGACGAGGTGCTGGCGAACATGCGCCTCCTCGGCCTCAAGAAGGGCACTGCGCTGGTCAGCGACTCCCAGGGCGCCGCGAAGGAGCTCGAGAAGCTCGAGCGCTGAGCAATGAGGGACCTGCGCCGCGAGCTCGCCGCGCATTCATTCTGCGGGCGAGATTGCGAACCCGAACGGGTTCACAACCAACGGCATTGAGGCCGCGCGGTCCGCGGTCAAACGCTGGGTTCGTCGCCGCTGCGGCGGTGGAATGCCGAGCCGCTCGGGCCGCTGGCGCGCGCTGCTGGCGGAGCTGCAGCGGCGCAAGATGAACGCGCGCAAGACGTTGGATTGGGGACGCACGTACTTCGCGCCGTCTGCCGCGTTTGCCGGCGCCCGCAAACCGCTCGGGCGATGGAATATACGGGCGATGCATACTATGCACGTTTGCTGCGCTCAGGCGCATGCGGTGCCCTTTTCGTGGATCTTCCAAGGCGAAGCCGCGCTCTCGGCCAGGCGGGGAAAGGTTCGGCTCAGCTTCGACGCAGGAAAAGAGAAACAGAAAGAGAGATAGAGAGAGAGAGAGAGATAAAGACAAAGGGAAATACGTAGAGAAAGAGAAGGAGAACGAGACAGATAGAGATAATGATTCGAAGAGAGAGATTCGCATAGGCTTTCTTATTACTCCTATATGAAAAAGTTTTTGTTTTGCAAGGGGCGCGCGCTGCTGGCGGAGCTGCAGCGGCCCCCCTCTGCAACCCGGGCCGGCTTGGGCCATATATGTGCGTGTGTGTGTTGTGCGTTGTGCGTTGTGCGTTGTGCGTTGTGTGTTGTGTGTTGTGTGTTGTGTGTTGTGTGTTGTGTGTTGTGTGTGTTGTGTGTAGAGAGTGTGTGCGTGTGTGCGCGCGTGCGTGTGTGCGCGTGTGCGTGTGTGCGTGTGTGCGTGTGTGTGTGCGTGCGTGCGTGTGTGTGTGTGTGTGTGTGTGTCCGTGCGTGTGTGTGTGTGCGTGTGTGTGCGTGTGTGTGCGTGTGTGCGTGTGTGTGCGTGTGTGTGTGTGTGAACGTGCGTGTGTGTGTAGAGAGAGTGTGTGTGTGTGTGTGTGTGTGTGGCGTGTGTGTGTGTGGTGTGTGTGTGGCGTGTGCTGTGTGTGGGCGTGGGCGTGGGGCGTGGGCGCGGGCGCGGGCGTCGGCGTCGGCGTCGGCGTCGGCGTGGGCGTGGGCGTGGGCGTGGGCGTGGGCGTGGGCGTGGGCGTGGGCGTGGGCGTGGGCGTGGGCGTGGGGCGTGGGCGTGGGCGTGGGGGTGGGGGTGGGGGTGGGGGGGTGGGGGGGGCGTGGGGGCCGGGGGTGGGTGCGGGTGCGGGCGCGGGTGCGGGGGTGGGGGGGTGGGTGCGGGTGCGGGTGCGGGTGCGGGTGCGGGTGCGGGTGCGGGTGCGGGTGCGGTGCGGGGCGCGGGTGCGTGCGCGTGTACGTGGGGTGTGGGTGTGGGTGTGGGGTGTGGTGTGGGTGGGTGTGCGTGGGTGCGTGGGTGCGTGGGTGCGTGGGTGCGTGGGTGCGTGGGTGCGTGGGTGTGTGGGTGTGTGGTGTGTGGGTGTGTGGGTGGTGCGGGTGCGTTGGTGCGTGCGTGCCCGTGCGTGCCCGTGCGTGCCCGTGCGTGCCCGTGTGCGTGCCCGTGCGTGCCCGTGCGTGCCCGTGCGTGCCCTGTGCGTGCCTGTGCGTGCCTGTGCGTGCCTGTGCGTGCCTGTGCGTGCCTGTGCGTGCCTGTGCGTGCCTGTGCGTGCCTGTGCGTGCCTGTGCGTGCCTGTGCGTGCCTGTGCGTGCCTGTGCGTGCCTGTGCGTGCCTGTGCGTGCCTGTGCGTGCCTCTGTGTGCCTCTGTGTGCCTCTGTGTGCCTCTGTGTGCCTCTGTGTGCCTCTGTGTGCCTCTGTGTGCCTCTGTGTGCCTTGCCTCTGTGTCTCTGTGTGTCTCTATGTGTCTCTATGTGTGTCTCTGTGTGGGTCTCTGTGTGTGTCTCTGTGTGTGTCTCTGTGTGTGTCTCTGTGTGTGTCTCTGTGTGTCTCTGTGTGTCTCTGTGTGTCGCTGTGTGTCGTTGTGTGTCTCTGTGTGTCTCTGTGTGTCCCTGTGTGTCTCTGTGTGTCTCTGTGTGTCTCTGTGTGTCTCTGTGTGTCTCTGTGTGTCTCTGTGTGTCTCTGTGTGTCTCTGTGTGTCTCTGTGTGTCTCTGTGTGTCTCTGTGTGTCTCTGTGTGTCTCTGTGTGTCTCTGTGTGTCTCTGTGTGTCTCTGTGTGTCTCTGTGTGTCTCTGTGTGTCTCTGTGTGTCTCTGTGTGTCTCTGTGTGTCTCTGTGTGTCTCTGTGTGTCTCTGTGTGTCTCTGTGTGTCTCTGTGTGTCTCTGTGTGTCTCTGTGTGTGTCTCTGTGTGTCTCTGTGTGTGTCTCTGTGTGTGTCTTTGTGTGTGTCTCTGTGTGTGTGTGTGTCTCTGTGTGTGTCTCTGTGTGTGTCTCTGTGTGTGTGTGTGTGTCAGTGTGTGTCTCTGTGTGTGTCTCTGTGTGTGTCTCTGTGTGTGTGTGTCTCTGTGTGTGTCTCTGTGTGTGTCTCTGTGTGTGTGTCTCTGTGTGTGTCTCTGTGTGGGTCTCTGTGTGTGTCTCTGTGTGTGTCTCTGTGTGTCTCTGTGTGTCTCGGTGTGTCTCGGTGTGTCTCTGTGTGTCTCTGTGTGTGTGCGTGTGTGTGCGTGTGTGTGTGTGTATGTGTGCGTGTGTGTGTGTGAGGATTCGGCCGATTGCGGGACAATTGATGGGCCCTGTTCTTTTGAACCCCCACACAGCGTTCACCACTTCGTGCGCGGGCACGTCGCAGTCCCCAGGTATTTTTGCTGGTCGCCCCATCCCTAATACAAACGTTGCGGGCCCACAGTGCGCCTGGCAATCCTCTTCCGCTCCTCCCCCCCCCACCTCCGTTCCTCCTCCTGCTCATCCCGCCTCCTCCTCCTCCCCTCCCTTCCTACTACCTCGTGCCACCTCCCTTCCACTTTCCCGCCTCGCCGGAGGAGGGGCCTTCCGAATGTCTCCAGAAGCTCCCCGGGGGCCGCCGCCGTCGTCGAGGAAGGGGCCCTGCAGCCTGCACCCCATTGACCGCAGGTCGCCCGCGCGGTCGGCAGGCGCCTTGCGAGCCGCTCCTGCGGGCAGCTGGTTGTCATGCGGCCGGCTGGTCGCCTTTGCCGTCGTCCTCCTCCTGAGCACGCTTGCCCCAGGGATCGACATGAACCGTGTCTTTCGTGTGCGTTGTGTGCTCGTTTTCCATCGTTCTTCTGTTTTAAATCCGCTACTGCTGCAAAGCAGAGCCGAAACGGAAACGGCCCACGAAATCGTCAAAACACCGTTTAGGTCGACCCTTGTCCTGCCTTGTAGCCGTTACGATGCGGCCATTGCGCGTCCTCTTCCTGCCCCTCTTTCTTTATTCTCTCTCTTTCTCTCTGTCTCTCCTCCTCCTCCTCTTCCTCCTCCTCCTCCTCCTCCTCCTCCTCCTCCTCCATCTCCCCCTCCTCCTCCTCCTCCTCCTCCTCCTCCTCCTCCTCTTTCTCCTCCTCCTCCTCCTCCTCTCCCTCCTCATCCTATCTTTCTCTCTCTCTCTCTCCCTCTCTCTCACTGCCCTGGAAGGGGTTGATCAAGTTGGTATGTCAGGAGGCCCTGGTGCGCAACGGGCAGGGGAAAGTTGAATGTGAAAAGGTAGGCGACAGTATGACGAGGATGAGAAGAGAACGAGGAAGGATGACACTTCAACACCTCAAGGGGAGGACGAGGAGGAGGAGGAGGAGCAGGAGCAGGAGGAGGAGGAGGAGGACGAGGACGAGGACGAAGAAAAGGACGAGGAGGAGGACGAGGAGGAGGAGCGACGGTCGCGGGCATTGCGGCGGCAGGGCCGCACTCGTGTGGCCTTCCCGTGCACATAGGAGCCCCCACAGGCGTCCCCCAGTCCTACGACAGTAACCCTCGCCTTCGCGGCAGGCGTAGGGCTTCCAGAACGAAGGATTGGTGGACGCTTGGCGGGGTTCCACCGAGCGTTGGGGAGGATTGCGTTTTCCGTCGCGGTGGCCCTAACTATAGACCTTCCCCAGAATAATTTCCGCCCCCCCCTGATGAAACCCCCCTCTCCCCAAGTTGCAGGCGGCGCAAGCGGAGCTGGCGGTGTGCAGGCTAGCTGGAGGCTGCGGCAGCTGGGTAAGCAGTGTGTGAGTGAGGAAGAGAAGGACCTCAAAGATGAGCAGGGTAGGCCGAGGCTGGACAATGTGCAAGACTGCGTTGCGCTGAGGAAAAAGGTGCGGATTCCAGCTGGTGCTGCTACTGCAGTACAGTGAGTCCAGCGGTCCGGTGACAGAACAGTGCAGAGATCGGAGCTGGGAAATGGCAATTGGTGCTACTCTGGCAAATCGGGATGCAAAAGCTCGGGTCGGCGGCAAGTGGTTGGCTGTGGAGTTAAAGGGAAGGCGAGGCGTGGGAGCTGCAGGGTGCTGACGTGTGCCTATGAAACATGGATGCATGCTGTGGCTCGGAAGTTGGGCGAGGGCTGCTAAAACCGTGGCTGCTAAAACGGCCCTCCCGGAAGGAAACAACAACTTCCCGGAATGAGGCGCGGCGCGCGAAACAGTCAACGGGCTTCTCCCCGGAAGGACGAAGACAATTTCCCGGAGGTCGATTTTAGCAGCCACGGATTTAGCAGCCCTTGCCCGGCTTCCGAGTGGCGCGGCAGCGGCCACAGGGATGTTCCGCACACGCAGGCTTTGCCTCGTCTCTCGAAAGGGAATGGGGTTAATATTCCCCAACCAGGACGTGGATACTGTATGGCAACGTAAGAGAATTCGGTGACGCAGGGGGGAGCCTTGGGAAGCGTTGTCTTTTCTTTTTAACCGTCTCTTACCCTGAAATCAGATTGCACCAAGAGGGGGCCTTCGCCCGCCGGGGTGGCCGAAGGGTTCCCCGTAGGGGGGCTGAGGAGGAGGAGGAGGAGGAGGAGGAGGAGGAGGAGGAGGAGGAGGAGGAGGAGGAGGAGGAGGACGAAGAGGAGAGGAGAAGAGGAGGGAGAGAGGAGGAGGAGAGGAGGAGAGGAGGAGGAGGAGGAGGAAGGTCGGGGATGGGGGCCTTCCGCGAGGCACGGGGAGGGGGAGGCTTGCGCCAGCGTGACCGTGGCCGCGGCTGGGTGCGGCTTCCTCCCTTCGGATGGATAACCCCCCCCCACACACACACCTCCCTTTCCCCCCCTCCCCTCCTCCTCCTCCTCCTCCTCCTCCTCCTCCTCCTCCCTCCTCCTCCTCCTCCTCCTCCTCCTCCTCCTCCTCCTCCTCCTCCTCCTCCTCCTCCTCCTCCTCCCCCCCCGTACGTGAGTGTTGCGAGCATCAGCTGCGGCGCGTCTGCGCACGGGTCGGCCAGCCGCAGCCAAGCCTCGGCCGCCTTGTCCATATTGCCAGGACAGCCGTCTGCGCACTCGCCGTGGCAGAGGCTGCCTGCAAAGGGGCGAGGAGGGAAGGGGAAGGCAGGATTCAAAGATAGTCAAAAAGTAATATGGGGAGGACCGCGGGCTTACAAAACATCCGGCTGGAAAAGAGTCGGACGTCGCATGCATGGGGCGACTTGCCCCTTCCCCGCCCGCGTTCCCTCTGTCCTCCTTCCGCTCTTGCACGCCGGACAGTTAGCTTAGCAGTGCCCCTGCTTTGCTCCTTCGCCGGTGCGGATGGCCTCTGCCTCGCCGCCGACGAAAAAATGTCAGGGGAGCTTTCCGGAGGTCCCCAAGAAGCCCCCAGGGGTCTCCGGACACCTCCGCAGGCCCAGGAAGCGCCCCGAGCTCCGCGAGCCTCGATCCCTTGCCCTCCGAGCCGGCTGCTGCGCCTCGAAGCCAGGAAGGGTCCAGTTCGGCGGCGGGTCGGTTCGGTTGCGCCGGCTTCGGCTTCGGCGGCAGGTGGGTCCCAAAGGTCTCGGAAATGGGAAATGTCGGTGGGGCCGATTCGAATCGGCGGGCCACATACGCGGGCAAAATTTGTATCCACATCCAATGCGTCTTGGATATTCTGGGAAGGGGCGCCAAAAGACCGAGGCGCAGTGTATACGGAGACATATCTAACCCCTGGGGGCCAGATTGTTGTCTATCTCCACTGCGTATCGAGCTTCTGGGGAAGGAAGCCTGAATCACCAAGACGTAGAGCGTGTAGATATACATATTGCCTGCAACATGGCGGAGTTTGAATCCCCGCCGAGTGACCTTTTGTGCGGGTGCACTAGGTTGAATACGATGCGATAGCAGCGGCTTGCGCGCTCCGATTCGGCCTCCTCGCAGCCCCCGAAAGTCACGCCCCAGAGGTAAGCCTTGCTTCTAGGGTCATTCTTACGTGCAGCCAAGTCTGAAGGTCGGTCCGGCGGGTTTGGCCAGTTCTGATCGGCGGCCATGGGGCGGAATTTGAGGTTCCGCCGAAGAGATGTTGTTCTCGGACGCGGCCAGGACGAGGAAGCTCCATTCCACAGCGTTCCGGATTGCTCTGGGAGGCCGAGGCGCCCCGACAACCAGAACGACAACGATATCCACGATAACGATACCGACGACGGAAATGAGAACAACGATGGTAACGAGCACAGCGACGACGATAGCAACGAGCACGACGATCACGATCACAACGATAACGGTCACCTCGTCCTGGTTTCGTCTTCTGCTCTTCGTCTTCGTGGCCGCGGTCGCGCCCCCCGCCGCTCCTGGAGTGCCCCCGCCCCGCCGGCCGCCGCGTCGGGGGCGGGGGCGGCGGCTCTGCGGCCGGAACGAGGAAGTGCGGGCCGAGCTTATGGCGTGCGAGTGGCCGCGCGGCCCAACGCGCAGTTGCCCCGGGCTCCTCGTCGTCATCGTCCTCGTCCTCTTTCTCGCCGTCGTCGTTGTTGTCGTCGTCCTTTTCGTCGTTGTCGTCGTCGTCGTTGTTCTCGTCGTCGTTGTCGTCGTCGATCTCGTCGTCGTTTTCGTCGTCGTCGTAGTCGGCGTTCTTCTGTCGTCGCCTGGCGGCGGCGCCCGCGTCCGGGCTCCTCGTCGTTGTCCAGGCCTCCCACAGGATGTTCACCGCCCACCAAGCCACCCCAACCCAGCCCAAATTTACCCTCGATCTCCCAGTGGTGGGGGGGTGGTCGGGGAACATCGAAAAACACGTGTAGAACCCGTACCCCCCCGAACCCGAAATTTGGGTCTTCGGGTAGGGTTGGGGTGGTCTGGTAGGTAGTGAGATGTCGGCGCAGATGGGGTCGCGGGATCGCGCCGCATCGGCGATGCATCGGCGGTGCGGCTCGATGCGGCGTCCGATGTTCTCCACGCCGACGTCGCCGATGCGTCTCCGGCGTCGCCAGTGCATGGCCGATGCTTCGGCGATGCATTGGCGATGCGGCGCGATCCTCCGATCCCCTCCACTCGGACCCCATTTGGGAGGCCTCTGCGTTGGGTGTCGTTCAGGGTTCAACGGGGGGAAGGGGGGCGGGGCTTCGAGGTTCGAGGTTTTTCGGCCGTTGTCAGACCCTTTGGTAATTTAAAGTAGGTATTTTTGGAGTCCCGGATTACAATCTACTTTAAGCGCCTTCCTACTTCAATGATCGAGTGGCTTCACCTTTTCCGTCCTCTTTAGGGGGCGGGCTGACACCCAATACATTTTCAATCATCACCTTTTAACTCTCTGTTTCGACCTACTTCTTACGACCGATGGGTAAGCTCTCGGCGGCTTGCAGCGGTTGCGCCTCGCCGGGAGCGTTCCGGGGCTGCCCAGATCGCCCCGAAGGGCCGCCAGAGAGCCGAGCTTTGATCCGAAAACCAAGGGGCTGGGGGGGGAACAGGCTGAGGGGGCCGAATTCTATACCCTGGTTGGACGGGCTATACCCCGGCAAAGGTGGGCTATACCCCGGTTGGAGCTTTCAAAACCGCCAAACTACCAAACACACCCAAAGCACCAAACATTACCAAACATCAAACATCAAACCCAAAACACCAAAAAACACCAAACCCCAAACACCAAATACACCACACACACACACACACCAAACACCACCAAACACCAAACCTAAAACACGGAACAGCAAACCCCAAACACTAAACGCCAAACCCCAAACCCCAGACCAAGCACCAAGCACCAAACCCCAAGCACCAAATCCCCAGGTGGCGAGGTTCGCCGTGGGCGTCAAAGCCCCTTCGCTCTCTATGTCCGCTTCTTTATGGCTCATGAAAGAAAGGTGATTATTTTTCATTCATTTTTGTTGCCGATCGGCGCGGGCACTCGCGATCGGCGCGGGCACTCGCACCCCTCCCCCTCTCCGTGGAGTAGATCTTGGCTGTTTTGGGCGTCTGCTTCGAGCAGGGGGAGTCTCCCCCAGAGGCCGCACGGTTCCAAGCAACCGCACTGAGCAGAGGTCCAGAGCCAGATCCCCTCTTTCCGCCCAACGCCGAGACGCCGAATAAGAAGACGCTCACAAGGGGTCCCGACAGATCCTGGAGGTGTTTCGCCGCCTTCGGGCTCCGGGGGACCTCTGCGGCCCGCAGATTCTCTCAGAGTTCTTGGGGGCGTCTTAGGGTGCATTAGGGTTCCTCGGGACTCTTTAAGATTCCTTCAGGGTTCCCTGGAATTCGTTTCAGGATTCCACAGGTTTCCGGAGGATCCCTCAGGGTTCCAGCTCGGCCCATTATGGTCATTGAGGATCCTTGGAGGTTCCTTCGGAGTCTTGCGGGTTATTTAGTGTGCATCAGGCTCCCTCGGATTTCTTAGAGGCATATGGGAATACGTCGGATTATGCATGGGTTTTGTCACTGCTCCTTTGTGGATCGTATAAGATTCACGTAGGAATCGCATGCGAATTACATGGGAATCGTAGACGAGGCGCATATGAATCGTATGCATGTAGGGACCATGTACGATTCACATGGGAACCGTGCACGAGTAGCATAGGAACCGTTTACGCTTCACATAGGAAACGTAAATGGCCCACATAGAAACCATATACGATTCACATACGTTTCGTATACTATTCACATGGGGATCGTATGCGATTCACGCAGGCATATTATACAATATGCGTGGGGCTTGTATAGGATTGGGATGGGTCTGTATACAATTCACATTGGAAACAGATATGGTTCACAAACTAATCGTATACGATTCGCATAGCACGCATGTGCGTTTCACATAGGTGTCGTCTACGATTCACATTGGCTCACACAGGGTTCGTATGCGATGCACATAAAAGTCGTATAAGGCATCGTCAACGATTCACGTAGGAGTCGGTTACGATTAGCACAGGAACCACATGCGATTCACAAAGGAGCCGTAGACGAGTCAGATAGACGTCGTCCACGATTCACATCTGAGTAATTCGCGGTTCACATAAAAGTCATCTGCGACCAACGTCGGAATCGTATACGATCTACATCGGAGCCGAACATTATTCACAGAGGCGTCGTATACGATACACGTGGGATGTGTACACGAATTACACGTATCAGCATTCAGCTTGCATTATAATACATACGAGTCATATCATATTAGTCCACGGTTCACATTGCATTCGCGTGCGTTTCTCATAGCAGCCGTCTTCGATTCATTGGAATCGTATACGATTCACATCGGGTTCGTATACTTCTCGCATCGGATTCGTATGCGACTCACTTAGGAGCCGTAATACGATCCACACTGGAATCGCATGCGTTTAACATTGGAATCATTTATATATAGGGTTCGGATCGGATCCGCATACGTTTCAAATAGGAACCGTTAGCGATTCACATCGCCTACTCAGATGTAGGAGTGTACAGTTCACGTAAGAGCCGCCCGCTCAGAATACCATTGCTGCAGATGGGTTATCCCCCAGTTGTTTTTCCCAGGAAACCATGCGACCCCTTCAGGGCACATCCGTGGCACCCCAGACATTCCAGAGATGGCTTCCAGTCGAAATAAGCTGCAGAGTCCTCCGAAGCTTACATTCCAGGCGGGTGTCCCCCAGCCAACTGGGGTATAGCCCGCCCATCCGGGGTGTAGCCCATCCAACCGGGGTATAGGAGGAGGAGGAGGAGGAGGAGGAGGAGGAGGAGGCACGGCAGCAGTACATATTGTCAGAGGTCGGAGGGTGCCCGGCCCCCCCTTGGCGGCGCCCCCGGCCGCCGCCCCTGGCGCGCTGCGCGCACCATGGGGGGGTGCCAAGCTCGGGAGCGGCAAAGATGGGGGTGATGACTAGGGGGGGGGGGGGGGATTTCATGGCGCGGGCCATGATTTTTCCCCAGATTTCATGGCGCCTCTTCTTGTTTCATCAAGTCCCAGGCCCCCCCGCTGGGCCGCGCACATGCCGCCGGTCATGATTTGCACCCCCCCCTCTTGGACACCCCCCTCTTGGCCGCTCCCGATCAGCGCTGATCAATGAAATCCGCGCTCGGGCCTCCAAACTTTTGCATGTGTGCGGTTGGTTCTGTTGTGCTTCTCCTCGTCCGCATCCCCCGCCCTCCCCCTCCTCCTGATTGTTCGGTGCGCTGCGAACTTTGGGGTATGGGTTTCGTCGCGCATGCCCCCTCCTTGTCGGTCGGTGGTGCAGGCGATAAATGGCCGATGTCTATGGCTCAGGAGTGCGGCGAGCGCAGGGCAGGATGGAGAAGAAAAGACGACGCGGCCCCACACAAACCCACAGAACCCTGCGCAGGGCAGGTACCACGGAGGAGGAGGAGGCCGACGACGAGGACGAGGACGAGGACGAGGAGGAGGACCAGGAGGAGGAGGAGGAGGAGGAGGAGGAGGAGGAGGAGGAGGAGGAGGAGGAGAAGGAGGAGGAGGAGAGGGGGGGGTTCAGGGCCTGACCCTCCAGATGGCCTCTCAAGAGCCTCCATCCCCCTCATCCTCCTAGTTTCTCCGAAGGGTTTAGACGACCCGTCCTCCTCCTACTTCTCCTCCTCCTCCTCCTCCTCCTCCCTCGTCCTCCTCCTCCTCCATCTCCTCATTCCCCTCCCCCTCTTCCACCTCCTCTCCTCCTCCTCCTCCCTCGTCCTCCTCCTCCTCCATCTCCTCATTCCCCTCCCCCTCTTCCACCTCCTCTCCTCCTTCTCCTCCTCGGGTCGCCTACGGCCCGGGGGCAAAAAGTGCAATCTCAGCATCTTGCTATTGGGTGTCGTTGCTGTCATTTTTGTGTGGAGTCGTCCCAGAGGGGAACCACGGCATAAATGCAGGTGCAGGAGTGAACATCACGGATTCTGAATTTGGTCAAATTGGTTCTCTTGTTGTCGTTGTGGCCCTCGTCGATGACGATGGTACTGTCCTGTCGGACGTCGCATCCCAACCTCCGAGGTCTTGAGGGAAGCGGGAAGTGCAGCATCGGGTACAGCAGCAGGCTGAACATAACTTTTGAGATTGGAGGTCCCAGTCTACCTTCTTCTAGAGACCAATCTCTCGGGTCTAGGCCACATACCGTTCCCACGTTCTGACCACAAGCGTCTACGGACACGCTGGGTGCCGCTCTTCATACAGGCGCAGCGGGGACGGATACGTCCGTAGACGAGACCGGAGACAGGCGAGAGCCGTCCACGGTATGCCCCTCGTCTAGAGCAGCTCCTGCGTAGCACTCCGATTCGGACAGCAGTCTTGACCTCAAGAGCATGATCTCTAGCTCCACGGGCAACATCTGATCAGGCCTCGCTGTCGGACGCTCCGGCGCTCCGGCGCCGCACCCTGGACGGTGCCCGTGTGCGGGCGTGTTCCGTGCTTCGTGCTTCTTGACCTTACCTCAGAGGTGCCCTTCCCGTGGCGGGAAAGATCGGGAGATTTGGCATGGCTCGGACGTGTGCATTTTTCCTTCGGCGAGGACAATCGAAGAGCATCCTTGATCATTTGGCGAAAAAGCCACGAACGAAACCGAAAAAAGCACAGGGAATGGACGTCCGAGCGATGGCGAGGAGATGCCCCCCCGCGGCCACGGGGCACCTCGGCCTGCCGTCCACGCCCAGGCAAGCTCGGGGGAGGGCAGTGCTCTGGAGGCAGGGAAGGGGTGTGGTGTAAAGTGGTGTGGCGCCAATGTTACAGTCGAGTTTGATTAGTAGGTCGGCCCTGCCCAAACAAGGGTGCCCTTTTGTCTTGTGTTTCGTGACCCATGCCCTCTACGTTCCACTGGCACTGGCCATCGGAAGAGTCTTGTGTCCTCTCGCGTGTCCTCTCCACTCTACCCCGACTGTATGTAAAAGGGGGATCTGGCGATGTCATATATCTTAGACGACATTGCCATTCCCACGACTGGCACCACACCTCTTTATGCCACACCCCGTCTCCGACGTCCCGAAGTGCACCCCAGAGCAACTACCCAAACCTGCCGTTGCCCGACCACGACGGTTCCCATGGCGCCAACTTCGCAGAGCGGATTTCGCTCAAGAATCCGTGGGATCGGCACATACTATCCTGGAGAATTCCGCTCCAGATGTCGAAGGGAATTTCGTGCGGATTTTTGCTGGCCGGGCAAGAAGACTACAAAACATCCGCGTGATATTCGTTTCGTTTTTCGCTTGCCGTTTGGGTGGTTTCGCATTGACAGAAACCCGCGCGACAAATCCGCTACAACACATCTGCAAGGTCGGTGAGGTCGGTGCAGTGACGGTTCTCTTCGGGCGGGTGGTGATGGGGGGGTGGTTTAGCATGGGGGGTGAGGATAGAGCCCCAAGGGAGATCTTGCTGTTGGCTGCTGGCCCGAAAGGGCCGTCGATGGGCTCCTGCAGGGCCCCCATCGTCACCCCCCTATTAGGTTCACCCCCCACTACCACCCCCCGCCCGAGATCCTCTCGTTTGACGTTGCGCGGACATAGATCAGATGATCGTTGCGTCTATCCGATCTCCTACTCCTCCCGCTGCTCCTCTTCCTGCCCCACGTCGTGTGGACGTCCAGAGGAGGGAAAGGCAACGATACCACTACTCTTCGCCTGACTTCCCCTTTTTCGGCTTTCTTGTCGGGTGAACGATCTGAGGAGGAAAAGGTAACGGTACAGCTGTGGTTCGCCCGGTTTGCCGTTTGTTCGACCTCCCGGGAGGCATTCGTCGCCATTGTTGGATTTGCCTCGACACCTTGGTCAGAGCGCACCCCGGGAGAAGTCTTGGGAGCAACGGTATCGGTACATTTGGGGTATCCCATATCCCGTCGTTTGGATGGGTGTCAGCGCGGGCGTCAGAGGCTTAGCGGTGCTTGATCTGGGGTGTGTTCGCGTCGTCGGTGCCGCTCGACCCCTCGGCTATGGCCAAAAAGTGTTTTCCTCCTTTCGTCCCTCCTTTAGCTACACGTAAGTCGGGCATGCCCCTGCACAGGAGTAGTATCCAAGAACGGTACAGAATTTGCCGGGGAACGATGTTTCTTTCATTTTTTGAATAGTTGCGATTTTGGTTTGACGATGTCCCCACATCCTGAGTGGAGTTCGTGCATTATCTGCACACCTCCGCGCACGATCTATTCCCCCCTTTTTGTCCCACGTCATCACCATCACCATTAGTACCGCCATCATCATCAACACTCATTCACCACCATCGCACACACTCTGTTCCACCTCATCATCACTTTCCACCCGCATCACCATCAGTGCCCTCGCACATTCATCGATATCACCATCCCATCGTGATCACCGACCAAGAGGCAGCCTCGTCTGCAAGTTAGTTGTGAAGAAGTCTCAGGCGGTAGCCCCTTCCCTGTGGGGTCCGCACTTCATTTTTGTAGTCCGAGCGGGTCATCGGACACTTGTTGTAAATGTCGTCACGTGTCGGCTCCTCTGGACTGAATATGGAGGAAGTCTCAGGCGGGAGCTTCGCGTGTGAGAGAATTGCAAGGAAGTCTCAGGCGGGAGCCCCCTCTCTATGGGGTCCGCGTTTCATGTTGGCAGTCCGAGCGGGTCGTCGGAAACTTGTTCCAGGCTCATCTGGACTGAATATGGAGGAATTCTCAGGCGGGAATTCTGTTTGTGAGTGGCTCGCGAGAAAGTCTCAGGCGGCAGCCCCTCCTTACGGGGTCCACACTTCCCGTTGGTAATCCGAGCGGGCCATCGGAAACGTGTAATTGTCGTCAGTTCTCGCCTCCCCCTGTATTGGATACAGCGAAGTCTCCGACGAGACTTTCGTTTGTGTGTGAATTGCGAGGAAGTATCAGGCGGGAGTGCCTTCCCTACGGGGTCCGCACTTCGCGTTGACAATCCGAGCGGGTCATCGGAAACCTGTCATTGTTGTCACGTTTCGGCTCCTCTGGATTGAATATGAGGAAGTCTCCGACGGGAGTTTCGTCTGTGAGTGATTTGCGTGGAAGACTCAGGCGGGAGCCCCCTCCATAGGGGGTCCGCATTTCAGGTTGGTAATCCGAGCGGGTTATCGGACACCTGTTGTAATTGTCGTCGCGTGTTCGGCCCCCCATTGACTGAATATGGAGGAAGTTTCAGGCGGGGGCTTCGTTTGTGAGTGCATTGCGAGGAAGTTTCAGGCGGGAGCCCCGTCCATACGGGGTCCGCACTTCATGTTGGTAATCCGGGCGGGCCATCGGAAATTTGTAACCGTCGCCACTTTTCGGCTCATCTGGACTGAATACGGAGGAAGTCTCAGGCGGGAGCTTCGTGTATGAGTGGATAGCGAGAAGGTCTCAGGCGGGAGCCCCCTCCTTATGGGGCCCGCAGCTCACGTTGACAACCCGAGTGGGTCATCAGCTAACTCCACCACCCATAGCCTTTGAGCACCCCGAAGGGGCACATCACGAGGCGTTCCTCACGCGTTTGTGAGCGAGCTGCAAGGAAGTCTCAGGCGGGAGCCCCCTCCCTAGTCACCCTCGCTCGAGGAATTCGACAAGAGAGCGGTGGAGTCCAAGGGTGAGGCGGACCAGCTCGAGGCAGAGCTGAGTTTCGTGGCGCCTCCCACGTGAGCGTGGCCGCGACGAACTCGGTGCCTGCAGGGTTTTCCCAACAGCTTGCTCTCGCGCCCCAACGGCTCGCGGGGTGGTCGCAACGGCCGTTGCCCCTACGCCTTCGCGATTTTGTCATCGGAGAACGCGCCCCTGCCAGGCGAGGCGGCGAGGGCGCCGAGGAAAATCGGCATGCGTGCCCCTGTTAGGAGGAAGGAGAAGTAGGCGCATGAGGAGAACCGGCGGGATGGAGATGAAAGGGGGGGAGAAAGAGGAGGAGATGGAGGAGGAGGAAGAGGAACATGACAAAGAGAAAGAGGAGAAATGTAACAAGGAGAGCGAGCAGGAGGAGGAAACGGGAACCGAGGAGGACAAGGACAATCAGGCGGATTTGAGGAAAGAGCGAAAGGAAATCCAAAGTTATTCTCACACGGGGTCACACCGTCGGAGTATTTTTGCCGTTTTCTCCTACATCCGCCTGTGGGAGTTCATGCCCGACTTAATTATACACCCTCCCTCCTCATTCATCTAGGGGGCGGCGGATATCTGAGCCTGCCAAAGGCCGCTGCACTTGAAACGCACGCGTGGGTTCAGGTTCGTGGATTGGCAACGCATCCCGTTCCCGTGCGGCGAGCGGTGCGCTTTGTCGAAAAGGATGCGCTATGATTTCCCCCCGTGCCCCGCTGCCGGATCTTCGGACTTGCAATCCGTACCAGAGCGCGCCCGGGATAGGTTCCGCCCGCACGTCCTCGGGTTCGTGCCCAACGTGGACGAATACATGTCGGCGGCGGACATTTTGGTGACGAAGGCGGGCCCCGGCTCCATCGCGGAGGCAATGATCATGGGCCTTCCGTGCCTCCTCACGCCTGGGCCTTTGACGATCTTGGCGGCGGCCGCGGCGGTGACGACGACGACGACGGCGACGGGGACCGCATCCTGAGGATCTCGGCAGTGGTTGCCCCCGACGGTCTCGGACGGGCGGGTTCGTGACCCACACACAGATATATTTGTGTATATATATGCATATATATATATATACACATTTACATATACATATACATATACACACACGCGTTCTCGCACACACAGGCGACGCGACGGCAACGAGGCGGCGCCAACCGGGCCCCAGCCGAAACCCCGACACGGCCATCGAATTCCTTGGCAGCAGAAGTGGCTACCCATTGTGTAGGCGCTGTTTCGGGAACGACGCAAACGCAAACAAAGCGATGCTCTGCCTCAGATTGCGGATGCCGTTCTCTGGTTGCGGGGCCGTAACCAGGAGGAGAGGAGGATGAGGAGGAGGAGGAGGAGGAGGAGGAGAACAAAACAGTGTAACAGTTATCTCGGGCGAGAGGTTGGATTGGCGCGCCGAGATTGGCGCGCCGAGGTCGTTCATCCCTGGCCAAGAGGAGGGCAACATCGCCTTCGTGGTCGACGGCGGCGCCGGCGAATTCGTTGCCGACACGGACCCCGACGCCATCGCGGAGAAGGCGTCTCGACAGGAGGAGAAGAGGGTCCCGAGGGGAGCTGTAGCCTATTGCCTTCCCTCGGCCTCTCCAGGGGCCTGTCCCCGACAATGGAGCTGTCAAATAGCTGCGCGGGAAGAAAAACTCGTCCCCGGGAAAGGACGTCAGGCCTCTCAGATGGGGTCGGAGCAGATAGGGCCGAAGGATCAGCCGCACTGCCGATGCATCGACGATGCGGCTCGATGCGGAGTCCGGTTTTCTCCACGCCGATGTCGCCGATGCATCGCAGACGTCGACGATGCATCACTGGTGCATCACCGATGCATCGCCGATGCATCGCCGATGTATCGGCGATGCGGCGCGATCCACCGACCCCATCTGCTCCGATCAGACCAGCCATACCTGGGAAAGTTGTGGTCCTTGCCCCCGTGAAGAGACCCGTCGGCCTAGCGACGGTGCCCCCTGGAGCACAGCTTCCCCAACGGTTGCTTGGCTCGTTTCCCTCGAGAGCCTCGTCTTACCTTCGTGCCGGAGGTGGCCGCATGGCTGGGCGACCCCGAGAAGTTGTTGCAGGCTCCGTCCTCATCCTCCTCATTTTCTCTCTTCTCCACCTTCTCCTCCTTTTCCTGCTCCTCCTCCTTTTCTCTCTATCTCTTCTTCACCTCCTCCTCCTCTTCTGGTCACTGCAGGGCCGCGCTTCTCTTTGCAGAGAGAGGGAGAGAGGAAACAAATGAAGAGAGAGAGAGAGAGAAACAACAAATATGCAGGTGGTGGAGGCACTGGTCTCAAGAGTGTCTTGTCTGATTCCCCTCTGTCCTCCATCCGGTGCCTCCTCCTCTCTCCTCCCTCCTCCCCCTTCTTGAGCACCGCACCTGCCCATGCAATCGTTGCGCGCGCACTCCTCGCGATTCACAACTGCGCGTCCACGCCCGATAGTGTTTCCAGGCGTCGTCTAAGATTCCAGCAATGCTTGCCCTCCTCACCTTCACATGTTCCATTTCTCCTGTGTTCCTCCTCCCCCTCTCCCTCCTTGCCCTCACCCCCCTCATCCTGTCTGTTTGTCATCCTGATCCTCCTCTGTCCTCCTCTTCCTCATGTATCCTTGTTCTCTTCCCCCATCAGTAGTTCCTTCTCCCTCTTGCCCTCCTGTTCTCTCTGCTGCTCCTCCTTCCATTCGTTACCTTGTTGTCCACCTCCTTTCCCTAGGTCGTTTCCTCCCCCCTACCCGTCATCTTCCCTCGTCGTCCTCCTTCGCATCCGCCTCCAAGTTTCTCCCTCGCGGCGCCCTCGGTGACCTGGGCGCGTAGACAGAGAGCCCGCTCTCAGATGTCCGCCCGCGCTCGCCAGCTGGGCCGCCCCGGGGCCGCGCTCGACATCGCGCGACGACTGTGCGATGGGCTGATGGAGCTCGGCACGGAACTGCGGGAAGGCGGGCCGGGGCAGCGAGGGGGGAGGGGGAAGGGCGACGAGCTTGGCATCGGAGGTCCTCTGGGGCCTATGGGGTCCATGGACGGGGCCTCCACGGACGCCCGGAGGTTTCCAAGGGGGGAGGAGGAAGGAGGATTTGAAGTCATTTGGCCCTGGGGCGCCTTAGCCCCTCCGATAACTCCCTCCCCCGATGAGGAACAGGAACAGGAAGAGGACGAACAGCAGGAGCAGCAAGGGGAGGGGGAGAGGAAGAGGGAAGAAGGAAGGGGAGAGGAGGGGGGTGAGGAGAGGGAGGGGGGAATGGAGAAAGGAGGAGGAAGAGGGAGAGGACTAGGAGGAGGAGGAGGAAGCTTATGATCAGGAGGAGGAGAGGGTTTGGCCTAGAACCGCGCAGGTCACACCGATACTGCATTGTCTCTGACGCATCAGTTCGGCCGAACCACTGATGTGTCCCTGCGAAGGGACCGAGCAGACGATTCCTGTTTTCCTTGCTGGTTGAGGGCATCGTTTCTTCAAAGCTAAAGAGCATGGTTGGCACAGGGAAGCAACTGTTCAACACCAACAGGCATGCGCCATAACGATTCTTCATCAAGCATACGTCAGATTTGCATAACACATGTCTTTCATGCAAGGATGCGCAGGGATGTGGGACACGTGTAAAGTGCAGCAGGGACGTCGAGCACTGGCACAGCAAATGCTCGTGCGCGCAGCACTACAAAGACAATCGACCGCGTGCCAGATCACCATGCAGGAGCAGACAAAAAGTAGGAGCACGTCAGAGCTGCATCGATAGGCTGGTGCCGATGCCCAACAGAGCGGCGCGCACACACTCGGCGTACAGATGTTCACCGTGCCCTCAGCAAGATCAGGGAGCCTTCATTTAGAGTGGACATGAATCACCGAATTGAGAACATATCCAGGCGATGTTGGCACGCAGAGCGGGGAAGTCAGAGGACACGGACAGACACGGCATGGAGTTGATGGTGTTGGAAAGTTTGATGCCCAGCCGATGTCCAGTACGACACCAGAGCAGAGATGAACCATGGAGGCTAGACAATGCTAGAGACCGACTCGTGGCAACACAGTTGCGAATGAAGAACCTCATCTCACAAGAAAGGGATACCCAAGTAGAGATATCCCACATCGAGTGCTGCGCCAACGAACTCAGCGAACTACCAGACAAAGCGGGCGCGTCGCCAGACGCAAACCACCTGGAGTCTGGCATTTCGAGCAGCAGCAGCCTCCGCAACATCTTCATGGGCCGCAGTGTTTCCATATGGATGGGCAAGCAAGTGCAACGACGGCAACAGGCCTCTTGGGCCGTCTTTGGCCAGCTTAGAGCCAACTTCGGCCATCTTGGTGGGCTCCTGGCCCGTCTGACGCCGTCGGAAGTCGTCTTGGGGGCCTCTCTGGGCCGACTTGGGTCCTCTTGCGGTGCTCCAGGGCCGTCTTAGAGGCCATCTTGGGCGTCTTGGAGGCCTCTTTGGTCGTCTTTGTGCCGCCTCTCAGGCGCTCTGGGGGCGATCTTGGGCCGTCTTGGGTCGTCGGAAGGCCGAAAAGGAGCAAATACGAAAAACCTTTGAAACCTAAGGAAATCTATGATTTGGGGCCCTCCTGGAGAGGACCTTTCGGAGGCCTCTTGGGCACCTCTTGGGACATCTTGGGTCGTCTTGGAGGTCTCTTGGGCAGACTTGGAGGCATCTTGGACTCTCTTGGGCCGTCTTGGAGGCCATCATGGACCATCTCGGGCGAACTTGGATGCCATCTTGAAAGCCATCTGGGGCCACCTGGGAGCCATCTGGAGCAGGAAAACCTTTTGGAACCACCGGTTACGCATCTCCGGCGGGACGGGCCGTACCCCCAGGGGGAGTTCTTCGGAAAAAGAACCAAAACCAAAAGCGAAATGATTCAGCAGGTCGGGCACCCTTGTTATGAATCAAGGGGGCGGCGGATCCCAGTGGCCTTTGGCCCATCCTGTATGAGGCCTCTTGTATATGTGTTGGGGTGTCGTGGGGAGCCTTTCGGAGGCATCTTGGAGGCGGTTTGGGCGCCTCTTGGGGCCCATTGAGACCTCGTGGAGTGGAGTATATGTTGGGTCTTTTGGAGGCCTCTGAGGATTTCTTGGGGCCTCTTGGGGCCTCTTGGTGGCCTCTTGGGGCCTCCTGTGGATTTCTCGGTTCTCGGGGCACAAATATCGAATGTTCGGTTCGTGGTCCCCTGCTGGGGCGCCTCTTGGGGCCGTCTTGGGGCCCTTTGAGGCCGTCTTGAGCGCTTCTTGGGCCATTTTGGAGCCCTCTTTTGCCGTCCTGGGGCCCTCTTGGAGGCGTCTTGGGCTGTCTTGGGGCGGTTTTGAGAGCTGTTTGAGCCGTAGCCGAAAATGCGAGAAGACCAAGCTCCTTCAAAAGTCGTCGTAACATCTACGATGTTGGCCTCTTGGGGCTCTCTCGGGGGGCCTATCGGAGCGTTCTTGTGGCCTCTTTAGGCCCTCTTGGGTAGTCTTGTAACCATCTACGGGCGCCTTGGAGCACTCTTGGCTTCGTTAATGCGAACGTGGCGTAATTTGCAAAGGGTTTATGGCTTCGGGAACGCGAGCAGTTCGTAATTTACGAAGGACTGTTGTTTCGGGGACGCAGAAATTGTGTAATGTACGCGGGTGTGTGGCCTCGGGGACGCGAACACGGCATAATTTACCAAGGACGATGGTCTCGGGCGCGTGAGTCTCAAGTATTTCAATTTGTCCCACCCCCTCCTGGGAACTCAGGGAGCGCGATCCGGGCGTGGTAACGGGCTGGTTTGGGCCCCCCCCCCTGCACGGACTCCAGCAATTTACAGTAGGAAGTAGAAAGCAGGACTGGAACATTGGAGACTTGGAGCTGCAACTGTTGCAGGGAGCAGCACATTTCGGCCTACAGACTGGTGGCCCCACAAGGGGGCCAGCGGATATAAAACGAATGCGTGCGGCGCTAAGGCGAGAACAACATTTTGAAAGCGACCCGCCCACAGTTTGCAAAGTCTTTGCAATGTGTTTACACGAGTGTGGGCGGCGCGAAGGCAAAAGACACATTTTGAAAACAACCTGCCCTCAATCCGCGAAACTCTTCCAGTTCTGAAAGCGAGTGCGCGCGGCGCTAAGGCGGAGCCTCATTTTGAAAACGGCCCGCCCTCAATCCGCAACACTCGTGCAATATGTTTACACGAATTCGGGCGGCGCGAAGGCGAAATACACATTTTTCAAGCAGTGGCGAAGTGTCTTGGTTCGCCGATAGTCCCACCAAAGCATGTTCTAAAAACCTCTTGTGGCCTGTACGAGATGATCTTGGAACATTCATGCCAAGAAACTTGTTTGTTGTTCTTAGGATATGTTTGGGTTTTGAGAAAATGTCGCGGTAGGCCTATCATAATGCCGTGACGGTCGGTTCTTGCTCAAATCTTGGAGACGGCTTGCCCTCCATCTGTGAAGCGGTTGCCAATGTTTCAGTTTCGGGGTCAGAAGTGGTGAGGTCAGGCTCAGACGAAAAGCCCAGGCCGCCCTTCCGATTCGCTTTGGGGATGCGAAAGGGGGAGGAGTTATTCATAAGGAAAAGGAGTGGAGCGAAGGAGGAGTAGGAGGAGGAGGAGGAAAAGGAAGAAGAAGAAGAGAGGAGGAGGACGAAGAGGGCGAGAGGGAGGACGAGGAGATCGAGAGGGAGGGCGAGGAGGACGAGGAGGGCGAGGAGCAAACGCGAGGAGTGCGAGGAGGACGGGGAGGGAAAGCGAGGCGGGCGAGGAGGAAAAGCGAGGAGGAGGACGAGGAGGGCCAGGGGGAGGGCAGGACCTCCCCTCCCACGGAGGCGCCGCCGCCTCCCTGCACACCTCCTTGGACGCGACGCCCAGCAGCACGCGCGACTCGCCCGCGGCGGCCTCCCCGCCGCCCCCCTGCCTGCGCGGAGGGGAGGGGGGGGAGGAAGAGGCAAAAATGTATGAAAAAACACAAGTACGTGCAACGAATAAAATAATCACAGTCTATTTTTGGAATAAAAAGTAGGGTTATATCAACGAAAAATCACGCTCTATAATTTTGTCTCAACAAAAATAAACACTTTCTGCCCATTTTAAAAAATCAAAAAAGCAGATACCAGGCACATTTTCAAAAAAAAAAAAACAGAAAGGGCAACATTATGGCAGGTTCGTGTCGTGTCGACTTGCGGCGACCCCGCCGTTGGCGGTCAACGTTGAACGGCGCCGGCGACCCCAAAACCGGTCGATGCTGAACGATCGGACATGTCGGAGACGACCGATCGTTCAGGGTCGAACGATCCCCGCGGTGTCGGGAGCCAACGCCGAGGTCGACGCGACACGAACCCGCGGCAGGCAGGGGGTAGGCATCGACTCGAGGTGCGAGGTTTTCGGTCGCTCTCGTCGGTTCGCGGCGGCTTTCCGGCCCTGGGGGTGCGTGCCAGCGGCTGCGCCTCGCCGCGGGCCGTCCGGGGCTGCCCCGCTCGTCCCGAACGGCCGTCGGAGAGCCGAGTCATGACGGGGAAACCAGGAGGCAGGGCTCGAGCTAAACGGTGTTTTGGCAATTTCGTGGACCGTTTTCGTGTTGACTTCGTTGTGCAGCAGGTGTGGAGCGAAGACAGAACTAGGGATGACGAAAACAGAACGAAAACGGAACACCGTTTAGCTCGAGCTCTGCCAAGAGGCAACGTCAAGGGGGGATTAGGCTCAGCGGGGGAGAAAAGCATCCGCCTGGAGTCGGCGATGCAGCATCGTCGGCAGATCGGCGACAGCAACTCCGCACCTTCTCGGGGCGGGGGCGGACCATCGGGCCCCTGCCGGCGAGCAGTGGGCAATGGGAGGTCGATGCAGTCCCAACTGAGTCTCTCCCCCCCAAACGTTGCCCCTGAGGAGTGGAAGGGGGAGGGGGGGGTAGGGAGGAGTATCCAGGATCGAGTGTTGCTGCCTCTTTCCCCCTAACGTTGCCCTTGAGGAGTGCAGGGGGGGAGGTAGGGGGGAGGATCGAGGATCCAGTGTTGCTGCCTCTTTCCCCCTAACGTTGCCCTTGAGGAGTGGAGGGGGGGGGTACGGGGGATGATCGAGGATCCAGTGTTGCTGCCTCGTTTCCCCTAACGTTGCCCTGGAGTGGAGGAGGGGGGGGGGTAGGGAAGAGGATCGAGGATCGAGCCTTGCTGCCTCTTGCCGGGCTTCCAGAGGCCTCTTTTGGCGCACATCCGCGTGAGGTCGCCTGCCCGAGAGCGGCCGCCACGAGTCGTGGACAGCGGCTGCTGCTGGGTGGGCATCGCACCATTGCGTTCTCCACCCGCCTGGGGCGGGAGGCACCGAGGAGGGACGCCGGAGGGAGGGAGGGACTGAGGAGGGAAGCGGGAGGCTCGTGCCCGTGCCCAGGGAGGGACCGAGGAGGAGGAGGAGGAGGAGGAGGAGGAGGGGGAGGAGGAGGGGCGGGGCGGCGAGGCCCAGGGCCCCACAGCCTGAGCGTGTTGCCGCCGCGCGAGGATGGGGCGTCCCAAGGTGGGAGGGCAGGACACCTCCAGAGCTCCGGGCCCCCCAGATTCGAGCAGTGGCGAAGCGTCCTGGCTTGCCCATAGGCCCACTAAAGGACGTTCCAAGTGGCCTTTTGTGGGCTGCACGAAGTGTTCTTAGAGCATTTCTGGCCGAGGCTGTCTGGTTTTGGCACCTCGGCTCTATGCTCGAAGAACGTTGTTTTTGTGATTATAACTTCTTCGGGATCCTAATCTGTTGGGAGTCGAAGAACATGTCGTGGTAGGCCTATCGGAATGCCAGGGCGGTCGGTCTCTGCTCAACGGATGAGCCCGCTCCGAGCACACTCGGCCGGAGGATTGCGCCGCATCGTTGATGCGTCGCTGATACAGCCAGGGCCCTGGAGAAGGAACCCTTTTCGTTGGGGAGGGGCTCGGTGTTCCTTGATTGTTTCACAGCTTGCCTCAGGTTTTCCTTATGTTTTCGATGGGAAATCGAAGTTTAACTTGTGGAAAAACGGGGCCTCGTTCCTTATTTAGGGTTCCTCAGGTCAACGCCCCGACTGTACGGCTCGATATGGAGCCCGACTTCCTTCACTCTGATGATGCGGACGCATCGCCCACGTAGCCGATGCATCGGCGATTCGGCGCGATCTCCCGAACCCAATCTGCTCGGACCCCATTCGGGAGGCCCCCAGAGCCGAGCTCGAATCCCCACGTTTGCCCGGGGATTCGGCAGCGAGCCTAGTGGGGAAATGAAAAGGAGCGGGCCTTCTCAGAAGGCTCGGAAGTCCCCCCGCCTTCTGAGGAGTGCTTTATGAGCCTTCCCCGGGGACGCAGAACAGTTCGCAGGCTGTCGCGAGGGCTTCTGACAGAAGTCCCGCCGCCGTCTCAGAGGGCCTTCTCCTTCTCGGTCGTCTGGTGGCTTTTGGGTCATAACTCGGCTCTCTGGTGGCCCTTCGGGACGCTCGGGGCAGCCCCAGACGGCCCCTGGGCGAGGCGCAGCCGCTGGAACGCACCCCCAGGCTGGAAAACCGCCGCGAACCGACAAGAGCGGCCGAAAACCTGCACCTCCTCCTCCTCCTCCTCCTCCTCCACCGCCCTCGCTCCTCCTCCTCCTCCTCCTCCTCCACCTCTCCCCCCTCCCCCTGCTCCTCCTCCTCCTACCTCCTCTCCTCCTCCTCCTCCTCCTCCTCCTCCTCTCCTCCTCCTCCTCCTCCTCCTCCTCCCTGGGTCGGTCACGACTCGGGGTCGAAAGCCTGCCCTGGGTCCGTGCCGTGTCGACCTCGACCTCGAACGCCTGGGTGGCTTCTGGGTCACCGCTCGGCTCTCCGGCGGCCGTCCGGGAGGCGCTTGCCGGACCCCCCCCCGGGGCGCCCCGCGACGGCGGCGCAGGCGCCGGAGCGCAGCGCTCGGGGCCGGAAGACCGCCGAGGACCGACGAGCGCGCTCGAAGACCTCGGGCCTCGAGCGGGGAAGCTCGGGCTGGACGAACGGGGGGGACAGGGAAAGGGGGTTACGAAAGGTGGGATAGGGAAAGGGGGGGATAGGGATAGGGATAGGGATAGGGATAGGGATAAGGGGGGACAGGGAAAGGGGGTTACGAAAGGGGGGATAGGGAAAGGGGGGATAGGGATAGGGGGGGATACGGATAGGGATAGGGATAGGGACAGGGATTGGGATAGGGATAGGGATAGGGATAGGGATAGGGGGGGATAGGGGAAAAGGGGGTTACGAAAGGGGGGGATAGGGATAGGGAAAGGGGGGATAGGGAAAGGGGGGGGTACAACATCTGCTGCATGCAGCTGGTTTCGGCCCCACCGAGGGGCCCATGCCTCGATACATAGCCGCCTCCGGCGCCGGGAGGCGCCGGGAACATCAGCTGCGTGAGCTGATTCTCAACCCCCCCCCTTTGCTTTCCCCCCCTTTCGCCCGGCCCGAGAAGCGCAAGGCTCGAGTAAGTCGGAGCTCGGGTTTGCCGACGTTTTTTGGCGAGCCCGTCCTGGATTTGGACGGTTCAGTTCTCCTGGGATGCCTGCAGAGGGAGCTCGCGTCAAATTTCAGAGTGGGTCTCGTCGTTTCTATGATGGCCCCGTCAGGTCAACCCGAGTCCCCCGTACCCGAGCCTTAAGTCTCCCCGACTCGAGCCCGAGATTCCCCCAGAGATCCAAGGTATCGAACAAATCGTGACGAAGGTATTCCGCAGGTTTCGGCCTCCAGGGGCCCTTACCGGGCCTCGTGGCCGTCAAAAAACGACTCTGGATGAGAAGCCGGTCCTCGGGAATGAATCGAGCCCGAGATTTCCCCCTTCTCAAGGGGAACGAGCAATGTCATAGACATAAAAACTCGGAGGTCCGCGACGGACCCCCCTGGCGGCGCCTCCGGCGCCGCCCCTGTTGCGTTCCGCGCGCGAGGGAGGGGGGTCCAGCGCCGACCCGAGCAATCCGCGCGGACCGCCGAGTTTTGAATGCTTATGTCATTGCTTTCCCTTATTTCGCCAGTTTGAAGCATCTTCCTCCATGTGTTCAAGGCTTCCCTCCGTTTCTGGGGGGCACGTCCCTAAGACTGCCCTCACCTGTTGCTTGCCCATCTTGGGGATAGGGATAGATTCGAGGACGGCTACCGCTCTACAACAAGCTCGTTCCACTACTCGCACACTGCCTACTCGCAAGCGCCCGCAAAGTACATGTCTGCTTCGATGCAACGTATCGTGGAGCGCCCGCGGCGGACCCAGGCCACTTACGAGTGGCTACTGTGCGAGTCGGGGAACGCGCTCCTCCTGGAGCCCGTCCTCGCCTGCTGCTTGCCCATCTTGGGGATAGGGACAGGTTCGAGGCCGGCCACCGCTCTCGATCTCCCCCCTCGCTCGCCGCGGAGGGCTGCCCCGCCCTCGGCGCTCTGGGCCTGGCCGGCTCGCTATATATCAGGAGGGGAAAAAACACAGACACAAAGAATCGTCGACTCCCCAGAAAACATGAGAAAATATGGGGTGTGGGGGGGAAGACAGAAACCCCGAAAAGATGGAACAATATGGGGCATCCTTCTATTATTTGTGTGGATTTCTTTGTGTGCCCTGGGGCCCCTTCATCTATAGAGGAGGCTGGGGGGGCGAGGGGCGGCGGCCCGCTGTCGCGGGTACAGCCGGGGCCCCAGGTGAGGGGGCCCGGTCAGCAGCAGGGCCCTGGATCGAGCTGTGGCGAGGCGTCCTTTCGGGGGCGGCAAAGGAGGGGAGTGATGACCAGGGGGGGGTGGATATCATGGCGGGGGCCATGATATCTCCCCAGATGTCATGGCGCCTCCTCTTGTTTCGTTGCGTCCCTGGCCCCCCCGCTGGGCCGCGCACATGCCGTCGGTCATGATGTGCACCCCCTCTTCTTGGACACCCCCCTCTTGGCCGCTCCCGAAAACAGTGGCGAAGCGTCCTTGCTCGCCTATAGCCCTACCAAACAATGTTCAGATTACCTTTTGTGTTTCCCACGAGATGTTCTCAGAGCATTTCTGGTTGAGATTGTTTTGTCTCAACATTCGGGTATATGTTCCAAGAACATTGTTTTTGTTATTACAGCATGTTTGGGTTCTAAGAACATGTCGTGGTAGGACTATAGTAATGCCGGGACGGTCGGTCCTGACTCAACTGGAGCCCTCAAATTGGCCAGAATCACTGAAACTCTGGGCTTATAATGTTCCAACCTACTCTAGCCTTGATCACCAGAAAAAAATTAGAGCACCAGGAAAGTACCGAAAGCGGAGAGTTTTTAACGTGTCGGGCCTTGGGAGACATTGCTTCGACGCTGTTTCGACACTCTATCGACACTTTTCTGGGTGCTCGAAATTATTTCTGGGATGTGGTCCTCAAGCACGATGGCACCATAACTCTAGCACTCCTAGATGAGGTCGGGGCCTGTGGGGGTCGGAGTAGATGGTCGGAGGATCGCGTCGCGTCGCCGATGCATCGGCGATGCATCGGCGATGCGGCTCGATGTGGGGCCCATTTGCTCCACGCCGACGTCGCGGATGTATCGCCGACGTCGCCAGTGCATGATTGATGCATCGCCGATGCAGCGGCGATGCACCGCCAAAATATCGGCGATGCGGCGAGATCCTCCGACCCCACCTGCTCGGACCCCATCTAGGAGGCCTCTATGAACCAGGTCTGCCGTGGCTGGTGTTGTTCGGGTGACGGCAGTTCCGGTTGTCAGCCACGTGCAGAGGGGGACGGGGGGAGGGGGGAGGGCTTCTTAGAACCACCCCTGCTTCTTAGAAGGCGCGGGCCTTCTCTGTAGATACAGGGCCGCTGCCTTCTAAGAAGCAGCCTCCTTCTAAGAAGCCCTCCCCCCTCCTTCCACCCCCTTGTGCGCGCCGCCAAGGTTGGTGGAGCGGGGCGGGGGGGGGGGGCGCCCCCCGGTACACATCCCTAAACCAGGCCCTTCAAAAACCCAGTTCTGCCAACGCCCGGCTCTGCGAGGGTGTCCCCCGCTTCCTGGGGGGGGGAGTCGCGGGGGGCACGCCGCCCCGCAGACGCTGGAGTCGGGCACGTTCCTTTTACAGGGGGAAAATTCACAGGGAGTCAAAAAACAATAGGCTGGGGGCGATGTTTCGAAGACTTTTTGGCTATGTTTGAGTAATTTTGAGTCTGTTCCGTTTTTCCTCCAAAATCCGCCTGTAGGAGAACACGCCCGACCGAAATCCAGGGGCGCCGACGCCGAGTGCCGAGACGGCACGAGCGAAACAATTTGTTTTGGTCAGCAACGAGGCTGAGAAGCTGTTCTAGCGGGTGGCGATTCGTGGCAATCGAATAGCGAATCGCTTATCGTTTTCGTATTAATCGCTCTTATCTGCCAGATCGGGCGGCTGGCTAAGCACAACGAGCCACTATAAACTCGCGGCCATTAAGACACTAAACTCCCCCAACCCCCCCCCCCCCTGTGGAGTAGATCTTGGCTGAGTAGTTTTTTTTTTTTTTTTTTTTTTTTTTTTTTTATTTTTTTCTTTTTTTTTTTTTTTTTTTTTTTTTTGGTTTTATTTTTGTATTTTTTTTTTTCTTTTTTTATTTTTTTTTTGTTTGGGAGCCTCCTGTGTTCAGCAGGGATTCGAGTCTTTTCCCCCCCCAATGTGAAGAGCGCTGAGGACTGCGAAAAGCAGAACGAACGTGCTGCAAAGCAAAAGCCAAAAACAAAGATCGCAACAATTAAAAAGCTAGAAGGTCCCAACAGAGCCAAACCCCCCCTCCCCCCCCGTTGCGCCCAGTGTCGAAACGCCGAATCAGAAAACGCTCACGAGGCAGAGAAGCTGCTCCAGCGGGTGGCGATTCGGGCCAACCGAAAGGCGAATTGACCGGCGTGCAAGGGGGGGGAAAACGGACCAGGGCGGCCGCGCAGAGGACCGGAGGAGGAGGAGGAGAGCCACCCAGACGCGGAGGACTTCCGCGTCGAGTGGGCCGGTGCGGCCAGCCATGGCAGCGGTGGCCGTGGCAGCAGCGGGGCCGCGGCGAGAAGCAGACCACACACACACGACCTGGTCATCGGCGGCAGGGAGCAGCGAGCGGTGGTTTTCCCGTGGATCTGCTTACTGAGGCCACGGCCTCCACGCCATGCCCTGATGGGCACGGGCCGGGCTCCCTCGCGGAGCGCGCATGCGGACTCTCGGCGTCCGTCGCCCCGCCCTGCGGAGCCCGCCTTCTCCACGCTGGCGTCGCCGATGCATCGCTGACGTCGTTGATGCATCGCCGATGCTTCGGCGATGCATCGGCGAGGCGGTGCAATCCTCCGACCCCTTCTACTCCGACCCCATGTAGAGCTGCAGGAGGCCTCTACAGGAGGTCACACCTCCTCACCCTACCGCCCGTGCCCCGCCTACAGACTGGGCGAGGAGGGCCACGACGACGACGACGACCTCGACGACGACCTCGCCGACACCCCAAGGCCTCCAGGGGTCCCGGGTGGGCGCCGCGGAGGCCCCCCGAGGCCCCCCGAGGATCCCGGGGGCCACAAAAAAAAGCCGAACGGCAACGGCAGGAACAGGAACGAAAGCCGTCGCGCACTGAAGCGGCGACGACGACGACGACGACGACGACGACGACGACGACGGCGCGCCGGCAGGCGGCCACCTCGCCTCGAGAGGCGCACGGCCCCGCGGACGAGCCGCCGCGGGGCGCGCCCCCCCCGGGCGCGCCCCCTGCGGCGGGCGCCGCGGGCGGCGCCGCAGAGCGGCAGCCGCGGGCGGGCGCCGCGCGGGCCGGGAGCGGCCTGAGAGGCGGGGCCCGCGGCGGGCTCGGCCTCCATCGCTCGGCCGGCGAAAGGGGATAGGGAAATGGGGGGGTACAACATCTCCTGCCTGCATGCAGCTGTTTCGGCCTTCATCCGAGGGGCGCCATTCCCATAACATACCCCCGCCTCCCGCGCCCTGGGGCGCCGGGAAAATCAGCTACGTGAGCTGGTTCTCAAACCCCCCCTTTGCTACCCCCCCCCCTTTCGCCCGACCCGAATCGCTCGGGCGGGCGGACCGAGGTGGCAGGTCGAGGTCGGCTCGGGGAGGGTGCCCCTTGTAATCAAGAAGGGGAGTCAGAAATAGTCTCGGGACGATGTTTCGGCAGTGTTTGATTGTCTGTTCTTGATGTTTTGTCGCGTACTGCTTTTGATAATTCTTTTCCAACGTCCGCCTGTAGGAGGACATGCCCGACCTAAGGCTGCAGTGTGGGGATCCGTTCGCGCGAGATAGCAGGCAGCGGCAGATCAAGGTCGGCTCGGGGAGGGTACCCCTTATAATTAAGTCGGGCACGTCCTTCTCTACAAGAGGAGTGTGCGGAAACAGGCAAAACATGCGCAGGGGGCGATGGGTCTATCTATATATATATATATATACATATATATATATATATATATATATATCGACCATGTGTGTTTTTGCTGGTGACTGTATTGTAGCATTTGTCAAGAACCCGCTTGTAGGAGGACATGCCCGGCATAAACATAAACTTTTTGGCGCTCCGCGCGGATTTCTTGGATCCGCGCTGGGCCCCCCCGGCGACGCCTCCGGCGCCGCCCCTGGCGCGCTCCGCGCGCCAGGGAGGGGGGTCCAGCACAGATCCAAGAAGTCCGCGCGGAGCGCGAAAAGTTTTTGTTCGTGGCGTTTTCTCTAGGCTCGGGGAGGGTACCCTTGGATGTTCTCTGTGTGTTGTTGCCGGCGGAGGGTCTCATGTGCTCTCTCCTGGGTCCGGTTGTACGTGTGCCTTGTTGTCGGCGGGGCCAGCGCCAGAAAGTCTGCATCATTTTGGAGCATCTTGGAAAACCTTCAGAACAGCAAAAAACACGCTCGAAACCAGATAATGCACGAAGATTGGACGTCCGAGCGGTAACACGGTCAGAGGGGGAACGGCGGGACGAGGATGAGGATGGCGTGTTCGAGGTTTCCGGGCGTATTCGTCGGTTCGTGGCGATTTCCCAGCCTCGGGATGCTCTCCAGCAGCTGCGCCTCGTCGAGAGGCGTCCAGGCCCGAAAACAACCAGGTGCAACATTCGGGGCCACGGTCCTACGAGGGCGACTTGAGACAAACAAATATTGTTTTAGGCGATCGTAACCATGGATCAAGGGGGCGTAGATTAGCGACGGGTCCAGTTTCCACGGGAGATCGCGGATTCCCGCTGCCGAGCGAGGCGGCACCGGCCGTGTTTTGTTGATGGTACCTCCCCCGATCCATGGATTTGGCGACCGCGCGCCGAATCCATGGATCGCTAGTTATGATGTTCCAACCTGCTTTGGCCTTGATCACCAGAAAGGCTTTCGATCACCAAGAAAGTACCGAAATTGGAGGATGCTCACGGGTCGGGCCCTGAGAGGCGATATTCGCTCGACACTGTTTCAATATTGTTCAGGGTGCTCGAAATTATTTCTGGGATGTGGTCCTCGAGTACGATGGGAGCTGCACAACGCCAG